TAGATGATCATTTTGGTACATCAATTCAACATCACTGAATTCCCATAGTCTGTACTTCTCTATATTAAAATCAGGGTTTCCTGTATTACAGTTGTTTCCTGTGCAAGAAAACAATTGCTTGTCAGTGATTTCAAGATCTTTTGTGTTCTGTTGTGAAATCAAGATACTTTGAGAACACAAATTCTGCTAGTGTAAAGTTAGTCAAAATATTTTCCAAGAATATAAATAAAATAATTTGTCCTGACCACCCACAGTATCATGTTGGTTTTTAAATGGGATATTAGATACCTAGGAAATACCATCTGTGATGAAAACAAGAATTTACCATGACCACCATTATGCTAATATAATTGGAAAGCCTTCCTCACCGAGATCTGTGTGAAATTCATTTGACAGCTAACTGCAGCATCAGATGCAGAGACAACATCAAGAAGCAGTTCTACAAAGACCAACTAGGTTTCCATGGCTTTGCCCTGCATTTATTACATACTGCACATGTCCCCAGTTCTGTAATCCAAACATCTGGAGTAAATAAAGGGTTGATGGTCTAGAAAAAGATCTCTTGCTAGAAAATTTGCAGGCAATCTTGCTTCCATGTCTAGAAATCTACTTAAAAGACTCAGAACTCAGACTGTGATAATCCCCTAAATCTTTGAAATTTAAGATTATGTCACAGACAGCAATGGCAAATAAGCTGTTTGTCAAGAAGTGGCACCTCTAACCCCTTGGGATTCTGAAAGAGTGTCACTGCACTTCTTTTAGTCAGGTGCTATGGATAGAGAAATTTGGGGGAGGGACAGGTAGACAGTTAAGAAATGCAAGTTAAGTATCATAGGAACTTAATTTCATTCTGATGACTATCAGCCTGCAACAAGAGTATGTTTTTCCTTAAAAGTTTACCAAACAATACATCTTGTAGTGCCAAAACCTATCAGTCAGAACTTTTCCAGGCTGACCTGCAACCCTAACAAACTGTGATTGTCAGGACTATGACAAATCTCGTATTCCTCTAGCTCAACTGCTCAGCACTGAGATGAATTTTCATGTGGCTGCTTACCAGCTACCTCATGGTTTGAAGCTTGCTGCAATTATACTTTTAATGGGACCTTGACAGAACACCTGGGGAAAAAAAAAAAAAAAAAAAAAAAGCCAACAAATGAACAAAACACACAACAAACCAAAACCCTCCCCAAACCAACAGAACAAGAAGTAGTTTAGATCACTTCTTAAATGTTGTCCAATATTGCCCAAAAAGAGAAACACAGAAGGGCTGAGATTGGAAGGCACCTCTGGAGGATATCCAGTCCAACCCACCTGCCCAAGCAGGGCCACCTGGAGCTGGCTGCACAGCTCTTTGTTCAGATGGTTTTTGAATTACATCCAAGGATGGAGACTCCACAACCTCTCTGGGCAACCTGAGACAGTGCTTGGTCACACACACAGTGAAAATGTGTTTCCTGATGCTCAGATGGATCCATTGCCTCTGGTTTTGTCACTGTGCAGCACAGAGAAGAGCCTGGCTGTGGTCTTCTTCACTCTCCCTTCAGGTATCTGTGTGCATTGGTAGGATCCCCTTGAGCCCCCTCTCTCCAGGCTGGACAGTCCCAGCTCTCTCAGCCCTTCCTCATAGGAGAGATGCTCCTGTCCCTTTATTATCTTCATGGCCCTTCACTGGGCTCTCTCCAGTGCATCCATGTCTCTCTTGTACTGGGTAGCCCAGAACTGGACACAGCACTTCAGGTGTGGCCTCACCAGTGCTGAGTAGAAGTCAATCATTAAAGTCATTAATCTCTAAAAAAGGCACATATGCCCCAAGACTGACTGACTTTTCTTCATTTACATCAAACGCTCCATTACCAGGCACTACTGTACCTACGAGTTTCATCTTGACTGAAAAGCATCACTGGCACATATTAAAAAAAAAAAAAAACTTGTTCTGACAGGAAGAACAGTGCGTAGCCATCTACAGCAATTCCCCTGCTCCCTCCTACCCAAAAGGCATTGAAATACCTAGGAAAGTGAAACAATCCTACTGTCATGCATCTTCCTATTTTTTTTTTAAAGTCCAAATGTCAAACAGCAGTACGGAAGACTTTCAAATGTCCCAAAATACCTTGGTATGAACTACAGTCGAGTGCTAATGGCACTGCATAACTATTTAGTAAAGCACCCTTGCGAAAATGAACCAGTATCCCATGGAGATTTACCACTCAAGATGTTCTCTGCTGACTGTTTTTATCTGTACATTCTTACCAATTCAACATGAAGCGTAGGATTCTGTAATTATACATATGAAAACAATCCTAATAACAAAATCCATTCCAAAAACAGAAGTAATGGGAAAATCACAGCATGCATGACCCAGCTGACAAAATCATTGCCAGATGTTTCCTTCCAACTAACAATCCTGTGAGAAGAAACTTCTGCTTCATCGCCCTTCCCCACACCGAGTCTTAAAGCCGATTGTATTACAGCTTTTCCACAATATCAGCGTTAGTTACGTGCTTCTACTTTCAAAAACATTGGCTTAAGTTGCTTGTGATTTTTGCCATCAATACTGACAAACCAACTCTATATTGTCCAACTGAAAGTATTCCATTATTAATGGGGCTGTATCTCATCCCACTGAAAAATTTCAGTTGAGAGAGTCAAATATAGTTCCTCCTCAGACTTCCTCCATACCACATAATAAAAGTCTTCTATTGTTAGAAATATTTTGAACAAGGAAAGAGAAAAACACTTAAAAGGGTCTTATTCTTTAGAAAGACTTTGGCACTTGAAAAAGAGACATTTAAACAAAGTTCCTTTTTCTGTAATAAACTACTCTTAGAACATGAACTGTGAAAGTTCTGCCCAATTATTTTTCTACTACTTCTGGATATATCAGAAACGTATCAGAATGAGATTGTCTGAGGTATTTAGGAACTTAATTTCCCCGTTTAAGTATCTGATATTGTGTAAACAGAATGAGTATTTCCATCTAAACAGCTGTGGTTTTGCTTCCTCTGGCAACACTGAGAAGAACCGATACAAGATTTTCTGCATCCTACCTTATAACCCAACTTCAAGGACACAAATATCCACTACCACACATTTGGTTCTACCTTGGGAAGGAAAACATGGATTGCATGCCAGTTTCAGAAGCACTCAGGGTAGGCTGTTTTGCCATCATTTGAAACCTGACAGTGAAATCCTTCACATTAAATAGCTTTCTTCCAGAGTGCTGAAACTCCAGGAGGCAAACAAAATCTTGTGTCACAGAAAACAGTTATCAAAATAACAGCCTACAGTTAGTTGTGGAAGTATCAGATGAAAAATTTTGCCTAGATGAGCAAGGGAAAAACCAAAAGAACCTAAACCCCACCACACCTTACTTCAGTAAATGTGTTTGGAGCAGCTTCACTTCTGAAAATCCTCAAAATGAAAATATGTCCCCAAACTCTACTGTAGAAGTAGGTCACAAATGAAAAAAAACAGACTGAAATTGAAGTCATCCAGGAGAAACAGCATCAAGGGAGGCCAGCTACAGCGTAAATTATGGAGAGGAACAGCTGCATAAACATGTTGCATCCTTACAGCAAACTTGGATTATGCTGCAGAAACCACACAGACAACTTCAAACTGTCTTACGTTCCAGTATTTTGCAAAAATTCCAAGAGAGAAGCTATTTACTGAAGAAAACGAGCGGAATGCTCACGTTCAGCATTCTCATTTTAAGACATGATTCAGAAAATGAATTAGCACTTTCCTTCTGCTTTGTCTAAATCATGCAACACTCCCAATATAAGCCCTTGTTAAGTTTATATATGATACTCTTCACACAAGGTTTTCTAGGCAGGACACTAACTGAAGACTCATGCGAACTTCCTAAGTATCCATGGTGTAGCTTCAGTGTCACTACATCAAAAAGATACGGAACCAAGAAAGGGATAAAGAAGTAAATGTGCAAAATTTATTACCTTCTTCAATGGACACAGGGAAGTAAAATATACAAAATTAGGTCACATCTTCAAAATTAAAAAAAATAATGTACAAACACCAACTCTTTAAAATAAAGAGCCCACATGAAGCTCAAAACTAGTTTACCCTAAATCAAATTCTTCATAAAAAATAAGCTACTTCAAAAAAATTGCATACCACTTTCTCCTTATGAAGTAAATGGAAACATTATTGCAGCAAATCCTTATAATTTGTACAAAGAAAATATTGTACAAAGAAAGTACTGTTGGCAAAATGAGACTAAGCTGAAAAAGCTTTGAGTAAGAAGCATCCTCAACATTTGTTAAAAAGCATTTTCTAATTCCAACAGGAGTCCTTCCAATGACAGACCTAAGTTTCCTCCTTGTTGAAAGAGATTTGCATTTCTAAATAAAATTCCATTAGAAGTATTTTATACTCCTGGTTACGCAGCCACGGGGCAGGGGAGGACCACTCAAGAATAGGCCTCTTAACATGACCTGTCATTCAAAGCAGCAGTACTCTGTAATTACTTGCAGTGTAAACCTTGCTTGGAAACTTGTTGTTGCTTATCCTAAGTGCAGCACAAACCTGCATTTTCTTCTGCCTGTGTAAACACTGTAGGGTTCAGTACTGGAATTTAAGGTTTCTGTCACAGTATGACTGGCATTCAAAACAGACCTCTATGATAGTGAGAAACTCTTCCTATGGAACAGAGTAGGCTCTTGGTGAGGTTATCAGGTTCAAGTATATAAATTGTACAGATCTGCTCCTCTTTAAGCGCATGGTATTCTCTTTAACAGGTGATGGAAAGTCAGTCAGAGTGGTGTAAGGTACGAGGAGCCCACCATGTCTCAACATCAGTCAGCTTGCAGCAGAGGGTACGTAACTTTCCACTAACAAAGTGCATATTTGAAAATCTGAAGCAAAGCTCCCAAAGTCACGCTGTCTTCCTTACGCTGTGCCTTTTATAATAAAAAAGTTTTAAGTGTTTATTACACTGCTAGTTCCATATATGAATTTTGTTTTCTTAGAAGTTATACTGTTTCCTTTTCTAGTGTTTCTTCTGATGCTTTGGTCCCCGAAGTATCGTCGTCGTTAGAATAATTTCCTGAATCTCGACTGCTCTGTTTAGAATGTTTGTAGTCTTTAAAATCAATTTGATTTACTACTTCTGTGATGATGGGCTCAATCACTGAACAATCTTCTATTGCTTCTTCTGCAGCTGACAGATAAGGACTGCTGAAGAACTGCTGTCCAAACCCCTGCAAAAGTGGAAAAGAAAGTGATGAACGTTCAGACATAATACCTAAATAATGACCCACTTAACACCACAGCTGTACAAATCTGATTTATGGTATTCAGTAGCATCAGGACATTTAGTGCCTATAATATGCCATTTGTTTCCCCAAGTTCACAAACTCAAAGTTAGGATGAAGTTCAGTTGCACTCATATAATCAGATGCTAAATAATGACTCTAACATTAATCTTAACCATTTTGCTATGCTCGTAGTTGTCAACCTCTGAAATGCTGGGGTTTGAACCCTGAGCCCCCGAATTAAGGTTGACATATGGGTGATTCCCACAGCCCTTCATACAGAGGGGGTGAGTTTGCCTTATAGCTTCCCCCCAGGGTGCGGCCGGCCCTGCAGGGAGAGCCAGAAGGGAAATGAGCCCCAGGGGTCCCGCACTGAGTTGACAAAGGTCAGGTGTCTGCTTGGGGATAAAAGCTGGGACCACTTGCAGGGAGTCAGGAGTGTCTGTCTGTGGAGGGCACTCCCCAGAGCTTCCTGGTTCAGGGCAGACCTCCTGACTCTCCCTGGAGCTGGGCCCTGGTCTGTTTAGACCTTTGTGAATGCGGGTCGATCGGTTTAGAATCGCCATGTGGGCACCTTTCTCTTATGCGTTTCACTTGCTGGTCTGGCTGTTTCCCATGCCAACTATGGGAACCCCTGGTTCACTGTACCACCTGTTGTGGGTTGAGTCATGTTGTTTGTGGGATCGTTGGGGGTGGTGTCGATCATGTATGAGCTTGTTGACCTGTTTGTACCCCCGGCGGTCATTCATAAAGTAACATTTCTGTCTACAATACAGTCTGCATATTGGTTCATCTCCCTGCTGGTGCTATCATTTTTGTTGGGCCTGGTCATTGGCAAAACAACCTCCTATATAATGCAGTATTTAATTGATTATAGCCTTACAAAGCCAAACAAGAACTAAAGGAAAATCCTAGTTCAGAATCCTTTTGAAGATCATGTGGTAGTATAGGAATAATAGGCATGTTTGCAAAGTCCACAGATCATTATCAGTTATAAAACAGTTTGAAAGGAGAAAGAGAAAGCAAGCTGCTACAGTGGGACACCAAGCCTTACACAGCTCTCAGCATTGCACTGCTGTCTAGTCTACATGCTTTCAGTCTATTCTCTGAAGTTTTAAAGGATGGCAAAAAGGCTAGAACATGCTTTTAAGATAATACAATGGGAAGATGTTTCTGGTCTCACATAGCAGGGCAAAAGCACATTATCACTTCCAGCAGACATGCACTCTCTGGAATGAAGGACTGTTTGCCACACTTTTGCACAGAGAGAAGAAAACCCATAAAAGCTAAAATATTTCTTAATTGCAGAATTCAGAACAGAAACTGATGCTACCCATTTTTTCCCCATAGGAATTCCTACCCTTTCTTAAAACCTATGCAATTATCTTGGCATACCCATAAGACCACAGGATAACAGACAAACACTTCTGTAACATTTTCTGACAATTTTTCTAAACATGCATCTGCTTAATGAAGGAGAAAAATATCTTATCTTACCTCTATGTTCAAAGGAGGCTGGCAGGATGGAAAGAACACATATTTGATTTTATTGTAGGCATGGTACAGGACAAAACCAAGTGGTGCAGCCACAAGAAAGACAGCAAACAGGGCAATTGCAAATGTCGCTAAAATAATCAGAGGTAAAACTTTACCTAAAAAAAGTGATTTAAAAACATTCAGTCCAGGTATTCATAAACTACAAAACTTAAAGAACAGATTCATCTCCATATCTGCTACAGAATTTATCATAAAATTGCATATTTCTACAGTACTACCCCCAGCCACGATGATCATTACAAAAATTATGCCATTCCAATATCTTAGATAATTTTATTAAAAACACAGCACAAAATAGGTATTCAGTGTAAGAACACAGGCATCTGCAGATCAGAACCAAGACCCAGTTATTCCCAGTTACATTTGGCACCACAGTATAAGAGGGACATTGAGCTGCTGGAGCGGGTCCAGAGAAGGGCAAGGCGGCTAGTGAGGGGTCTGGGGAACGTGTCTGATGAGGAATGTCTGAGGGAACTGGGGCTGTTCAGCCTGGAGAAAAGGTGGCTCAGGGGAGACCTTATCACCTTCTACAACAGCCTCAAAGGAGGCTGAAGCAAGGTGGGGGTTGGTCTCTTCTCCCAAGTAATCAGTGACAGGACAAGAGGAAACAGACTCAAGTGGTGCCAGGAGAGGTTTAGATTGCTTATGAGGAAGAATTTCTTTACTGAAAGAACAGTGAGACATTGGAACAGGCTGCCCAGGGAGGTGATGGAGTCACTGTCCCTGGAGGCGTTCAAAAATGTGTATGTGGTACTTCAGGACATGGTTTAGCAGTCATGGCAGTGTTAGGCTGATGGCTGGACTTGGTGATCTCAGAGGTCTTTTCCAACCTTAATCATTCTGTGATTCTATGTGTGGCTATTTGACAGCGGGACAAGAAGGCTGCAAACTGACCGCTACCAGAAGCACTCGATGCATGTAAAGCTATTGCACTATTGCTTTTGTGTACAGGATCCAACCCCAAGAAACTTAGTATGTAACTGAGCTCTCTCCTGTCAAAGGCAGAGACACCGGGGTAAGAATGCCCATGGGCTATGGAATAAGAGTGGGCAATTACTACAGTGAAGTTGGCCTGTGGTTAGTTAGCCAGGAAATCATTAGAGTGCTTAGACTTGCAGGGTCTTCAGGAGCCCAAGAGCATCCAACTGTTTCTTGGACAGGAAAGGAACTCCAATTGCAAGCTTCAGACAACACAGCCAGTAGAGAGGAAAAGGATTTTCCGGTAAGCATCCATTCCTTTCAGATGCTTGTGTAAGAAGGAATCAATACTAAGGCTATTCCAGTTACTTTCTACACTGGCAGACAGCAGCTCAGCAAAAGATTTTACTTTCTCAGTACAGAAAGATGAGAGGAATTTTCACTTCAGTGTTCAAACTTGATGATGCCAAGTAACTGGTGCAGTTGATTAGCTGGAGGGAAGGGAAGCCATCTGGAGGCACTCTAACAGGCTCGAAGAGCTGGCCCACATAAAATGGACCTCATGAAGTTCAATGTGGACAAGTACAAGGTCCTGCACCTGGATTGGGTCAATCCCCGGTATCAACACAGACCAAGGGAGGAACAGATTGAAAGCAGTCCTGTTGAGTTGGACTTCTGCACTCCTGTATTAACCCAGGAACTGTGATAAACCTTCTAACAGGCTAAGCTCAGTTCCAGGACTTAAGGTTATGACCTTGTGGTAGAAGGATTCTACATGGCAGAATCCAGCTTTTGATACTAAAATACTGTAGCCAAAGGAACTTTAATCTGTATGGTCACAAGCTATTCAGTGCTTAAGTTTAAGAGTCTTGCAAGCTTCCTCCTCTCCTCCGCTCTTCTGCTTTGCAACATACTCTCTGGCACTATCTCAAATAAACTGAAGGGAGTTTGAATACACTAAAATACATGCCAGAAGACACATTACAAATAATCAAGATAAAACAATCAGGTCTTTTTATCTCTATTTCCAGTTAGTATGAATGATCAAATAATAGAAGATACACACAGTGGTAAAAGAATGTGTGGGACATACGGGGCGTGACCGCTACGACTGTGTCTTGCCAGGTGGAGTCTCGAATGTGCTGCTCGGTCTTAAATAAGCTCATTTTAATAGTTATTAGTCCTCCCCATAGCCCTCTAACTAGTAAAATGGATTAAAGAATTTATCTTAAGAAGGTAAAAAAGTAACATTTGTGTCTTTTTAGGCTTTATAAAGACAAAGTGGCATGGACTACAATGTAAATGAATCCTAAGAGTTTAAGATGTGAGAAAGTAGCATTACTATTATTATATTTTCTTAGTTTTAAGTCAGTTTGGATATTCAGTAGTTTTTCTAGTGTTACAGCTTGTTAACAGAAGACAACTGGCCAAAATAAATTCAACAGGTAACTTGCTTTTATGTTCTGAGTGTAATCCTTCTACTCATTTTGCACAAAGGTGATCTTCCAGCTATAATGAGTATGATTTGTTCTCAGGCTTTAGCACAGTATTTTAAAAAGATTAATTAATTCACAGAAGAATTAAGGCAATTTCAGGAACAAAATATTCTTGAAAACACAGCATTTAGTGATTCCTGGCACCCTATGAAAATATCTTAAAAGTACTGGAAATTAAAGCTTGCCTATTAAAAAAATTGTTGTGCAGAACTAAGTTGAGTTCACAATCATTACCATTATTAACCTGAGATAATTTCTAACCCAAGTGGTATTGTGGAACAGCCAGAATGTGGTTTTGATCAAGTGAGAACAGAAGTAGTTTATTAGTTTAGTTATAGGAGAGAACACAGGGCAGCAAAGTGACAGACTGTTGATGTGGACCTCTGCCCAACTAGGTGCTAACTCTTTGAAGCCTTTAAGTCATTGAACAATGTTTTTAAACTAGTGCTGCAAATATTTTTAAACTAGAGAGGCACCCAAAGGCCTATGAAAGGTCAACAATTGTATTACCAGAAGTGTAAGAATTCCCAAGCTCTTCCTACCTTCAGGTGTTTTGATGCATTCCTCTTTGCTGTAATGGCTGCTTTTGTTGTAAATTTCTGTGAATGCTTGTACTTTGACACAGTACCAACTCGCAGGTGCTAGATCAGAGATTGTCCCTATTGTCTGTTTGATTTCTTTCACTTTGATTTCCTCCTGAAAAAGAAAAATTGGAAGAATAAGATGCACATGAATAGTACAAGAGTCACTTAATTAAATTAGAATTTCTGCCTCTCTTTCAAGAGTAATTCTGTAAAAACTTGCCATTGTTCTGTACGTGGATTAAATAACAGAAACCATGCAGCTCTCTCCTAAACAAGCACACTCACAAAACACTCGACAGCAAGAAACAACTGCTTTTACCATACTGAAATCATACAATTTAAAGCTGAGTGCAAAACGAAACTTCTTCCTTTTACAATATGTTGTAAATGTGTGGAAGAAGAGAAGACATTTATCCATTACTGTAATTTTTTTTACTCTAAGAAGCATTTAGAGAATATGGAAAGATCCATTAAAACATGAGCTAAAAGTATGCAAGAGTTCATTGTTTTATGATACATATAGCTATAAAACTGCAAGCACAGAAATAAAGTTTGAGTGGACAGAAACTCCATTAATTAAGACAGTGGGAAGAGTCATACTGTGAGAAAGATGGCATCACAAGAACCCTACAGCTTCTATTTAGCAGCCATTTGGGAGATTGTTCAAAACTCAGTGCAACTCTGCAAATTGTTACATATAGCCACATCAATGGAAAAAGATTAAAATCTCAACTACTTCGTAATAAAAGTTGTCTCAACCAGTTTTTTAAAAGCATCTTTCAGAAAAAAACCCACACACCAAACTGATTGTATGATGGATACACTATATACATGCCTCTTTTGAAAACAAGTTTCTTGAGGAGAACTCAAACTTGATATTTAAGTCATAACAAATGTTACATACTATTTTAAGTACTTAACTAGTTCATACCTCATTATTTGATGAATTCTTCCAGTACAGAATTCGGTAAGACAAGTCATAATTGTCCCTCATGACTTCACACTCAGATCCTCCTGGGGGAGAAATCTGGATATGGATCAAAAGATCACTGATGTCCACCTTCACACCAGGAGGGCCAATTTCATCTTAAGACATTTAAAAAAAAAAAAAAAAAGTTTTAAAAATAAGACTGAAAGAATACAAATAAAAACACTGCATAAAACACTGCAACTTAAATCTATGACAGTTTTAAAGAACCAGAGTTAAAAGGCTAACAACTAATAGCTTTATTCAGAATCTCAGGTCCCAATAAATATTTCAGTTATTTTCTTTCCACATTCATATTTTGCTTCTGCAAGTTCAGCAACATGAAATGCCTGGACAATGGGATTAGCTCTGTGCAAGTCAAAGTGAAACTACCAAACACTTCTTAATTTCATCAGGACATGAGCCTTCTTTTTCAGGGAGAAAACAAGAAAGGTCGAAGCCCAACTTGAACTTCATCTAGCAACTGTCATAAAAGACAGTTAAAAAAATGTCACTATAAATATGGTCACAACAAAAGGAGGACTAAGGGGAACCTCCATCCTATATTGGACACAGGGGGAAATACAGCGACCGAGGGTGAGGAAAAGACTGAATGCTTTCTTTCTTTGCCTGTCTTTTAACAGTAAGACCATTTGTCCTTTGGGTCCCCAGCCCCCTGAGCAGGAGGACAGGGATAGGGAATGGAACGAAGACCCCATACTCCATGGGAAAATTGTCAGTGACCTAGTGACCTATTACACTGCTCAGACACAAGTCTACAGGGCTGGATGAGATCCACCCAAGGGTACTGAGGGAGCTGTCGAAAGTGCTCACTAAGCCACTTTCCATCATTTATCAGTAGCCCTCAGTAACTGGACTCAGCAAGTTTGCAGATGACACCAACTTAGGTAGGCGTGTTGATCTGCTTGAGGGTAGAAAGGCTCTTCAGAGGAATCTGGACAGGCTGGATCGATGGGCCGAGGCCAATGGCATGAGGTTCCACAAGGCAGATTGCCAGGTCCTGCAGCTGGGTCACAACAAGCCCATGCAACACCACAGGCTTGGGGAAGAGTGGCTGCAAAGCTGCCTTGTGGAAAAGTACCTGGGGATGGGATATTGGTCAATGGCCGTCTGAATATGAACCAGCAGTGTGCCCAGGTGGCCAAGGCCAACAGCATCCTGAGTTGTATCAGAAGTAGTGTGGCCAACAGGACAAGGGAAGCAACCATCCCCCTGTACTCAGCACTGGCGAGTACTCAAATACCATGTTCAGTTTTGGGCCCCTCCGTTCAAGAAGGTCACTGAGGTGCTGGAGCATGTCCAAAGAGGGACAACAAATCCGGTTAAGGGTCTAGAACACAAGCCTTATGAGGAACAGCTGAGGGAACTGAGGTTGTTTAACTTAAAAAGAAAACTAGAGGGAGACCTCTCTCTCTCCAGCTACCTGAAAGGAGGTTGCAGTGAGGTGGGCATCAGTCTGTTCTCCCACGTAGCAAGCAATAAGACAATGGGAAATGGAAATGGCCTCAAGTCATGCCAGGGGAGATGTAGATTGCATATTAGTAAAAATGTCTTCCCTGAAAGTGTTGTCAAGCCCTGGAATAGGCTGCCTAGGGGAAGTAGTAGGGGTAGCAGGTGACCTGTCAGTGCTAGGTTAATTCTTCCAAAAAGAACAATTCTATATACCCTCTTCCACAGTTCTAGCACAGCTGGAAAAAGAGAAGTATTACTGGTTTTGTTTTCTTTTCTTATTTACCTATGTCACTGTTACTTTATTAAAGGATTATCTAATTACCAAGAGCTTGAACAAGGGAAAGCTGACATGGAATAGCCATTGATTCCATGTTCAATACGGAAGGCAATGGAATATTATCCTACACACCAGATACACATTTCTTGACATTTATGACTGATAACTTTTTGAAGTCAAATATTTTTGTAAGGTCACATTTCTCATAACATCAAAAAAGTGCAAGGATAAAAATTATTATAATTTTTCTCTGGAGAGTATTACATATTTCTGACTTAGATTTCACTATTGAGTCACTACACAAGATTTTTTTCATTAACCTTTTCAGTATTATATATCAATGTATACTGCTCTAGCACAAAATTCAGGAGTGCACTGTGCAGGGGTAGAGACAAGCAGGAGATGAGATTAGACACACAAGAAAATTGAGGCAGTGGATTCCAAAATTGACTTTGGCATCATTTTTCTGATGTATTAAGAAGCACACCACGTCAAAGGCAACAACTCCTGTTTAACTTGATGAGGCCAGGATTCCCAGCACAGCTGCTGCAGAAGAACTATGTATTCAGTTTAATTAATCTAGCAGGTTTCTTTCTGCAAATAACAGTATTAGGTAGAAGTTTGTTGAGAAATGAATATTTAAGAAAACGCTTTTGCTTACTTGTTACCAGAGGCTCTACTTTTACTTCATTAGACAAACATGATTTATTATATTCACTCATGGCCTGCACACGGAGATAATAAAATCCAGTGGTAGTGATGATAGATGAGAAATTGCATTGTGTATCAATAACGTTTTCACATCCAGGTACGTTGAGCCACTTCTCTGAGGAATCATCATGAAGTGTCTTTAGATACCCACTGCAAGACATATTGTAATAATTTTTCATGTGTAGTCCTTGAACTCCTCCCCTCACCAAAAAAAAAAAAAAAAAATCCATCAAACCAACATGGTTACTAGTAGTACACAGATTTTTTTTTTTTCTCCTTTTGGACGAATGGGCCTCTTCGAAATTTTTGATATTTAGAATATTGTTTTTTCATTTATAACTTAAACAATGAAGTTAACTGGATCAAGGAATACAAATTAATGCTTTAATGAAACCCCAATAGAAAAATTATCTATTGGTTTTAGAAGTTTTTAAAATCTAAATTAAGATTTATCATATAAGTTCATTAAGTCAATTACTTTTCTGTCATGACAAAGGATTTAAAAAAAAAAAATGCTACAGGTATCTCTTCATTTAGATGTTGGCCACAATATTTGCAGAACAACTGGATATTAAGATGCAGGTTTATAGACAGGATGATTTTTTCCTCATGTTGGGATCTGACCAGAAGTAATCAAGCATGTTGACAACTGAAACCTTGAACAAGTGCATTTTTGCACACTTTTAGTTATCAAATTTCTCCACATTCAAAAAGCTACAAAGCAATGCAAACTTCTCGCCTTTTAAAAATGTTACTTAGCATATATTTAGTAGTCCATTTCATCAGGTATTTAACACTTCTAAAAGATGCCTAATACCCTGAAATATGATAGCATATGAAATCCTTTTAAAAGCCATGCTATGTCCAGATGAGCTACCCAATATTTCAATTAATATATTAAGCCACTTTTGCTAAGTATTTAACTTTTAGTAACTATTTGCAAAATACAACAGATGGCATTTAGAATGACATAACCTTTACACAGAGATAAAGAAATTAACTCACATGAGATACTGTACATTGTAGCTCATATGTTGTTTATACTGATTATTCCAATGCAGATGAAATTTCATATTCAAAGCAAGAACGCTCACATTCATTGCACACTGTAGGTCAGTCACTGTTCAAAGAGAAAAGAGAAGGATACCTGCAATTATTGAAAAGCTTTATATTACATACAGTGATTTCTCACTGAATAGGTGTTTCTTGTGTAAATGGTCATGGTACACTTTCAGTAATTAAAAAAAAACAAGTCAGAAAAAAAATAAGTACAGAAACATTGAGATTAGTAGAAATAAACTGGTTTAGTGATAACTTGATGAGAAAAATGTGTAAAAAAACCCAAAACAAACAAACGTGTAAACATCAAGTAATTTTGATGTACCATCTGTTCCATCTGATCTTTGACTTTCTGCAATCCCACACTGTTATTTTTTTTCCCTGAAATAAACATTTAAAAGTAAACAGACACTGAACAACACAAAAGAATTCAAATTCAGACACGCAAAACAAGTGACTGGTGGCGTACTACGCCATTCTTCAGAATCTGTAACAATAAATTCACCAAGGCTTCCATATAAACACTATTTTTGTAAGCTTAGCTTAACTTTATATGCATTCATTTAGTGCCAAGCATACAAAAGGGTCTTTTCTTGCCTGTATACATACCCATTTCCTCCTGATTCAAAGTTACAAATCTAAAAAGATCTAGCTTTCCAAAATACGGAAAGCAGTTTCTGCAAGCTAAATGGACAGAATTTGTCTCAGAGCAAAAACTTTTCTGTACTATTGAAACTATTGATAGGCAACATGTTTTATGTTCATTTAAAATAGAAGCTTTATATAACAATCAAGATTGCTGTTATACCAAAATGAGTAGGCGCTTGGCACTTCTCCATACTTCCTGTTGCTTTAGAACAATTTTTTTCCAACAGTTTAAACTCGAGTAATCATTTTAAGATAAAACAATTTTACTCTGTACCTTTACGGGTAGTTTTTACACAGCGAATGGGACTGAATAAGCCTTCTTTAAAGTCCCAAGGAAGAGTTGCTTGAACCTTCAAACAGTACGTAGTGTCTGGTTGAAGGTCACCAATTACATCAGTAGGAAAAATACGTTGCCTTCTGAACTGCAAGAAACAATTGCAAACAGATGAAGGTAACTGCTCCTTGTGATGAGATGATTTTTTTTTAAAGCAGTTTTTTGCTTCCCCACATTTCAGCCTGTTTATAAAATATGTTCTCAAAAATACTAAAATAGGGAACAAAGGACAATATATGAGCCAAACAAAAGCTAAATGAAGTTTCTGGCTCTGCCACGTGATTGAGAGGAAGGAATATAGTCATGCTCCTTTAACGCACGGCAGTGGGGAGGGACTGTGGCACTGCTCCACATGACGCATAGCAGCACACAACTACCCAGGCACACACTCAGACGAGAAGCAGCACAATTCTGTCCTTCCATTCATTTAATGGATGCTCCCCTTCTGCTACCCCCTGCTTCCCATTTCACAGACTTCTCAGTCACTGACCTTTGGATACAGCTTGTGCTTCAAGTTTTTTTTTTTTTCCCGCTTTGATATATAATATTATTACTAATTCTTCCAAAAGAACCAAGGTATCTGAATTCCTACCCTGCCTAGAGGCACTTTTATTCCTCTAAAAGGATAAAAAGAGAAAGACCTCCTCTGCCTTGGTCTTCAGAGAACAGCTGTAACTGCTGTGAAAGATGCATGTTTTGGCTTGGAAACTATTTCTTAATTACAAGACCTCAAAAGAATCCCTAAAAAGCCCCAACCTACAGTATAAAACCAAAGAAATTAGTTAATGACACAGGGCAGTGTACTGACAGCTGCAGTCAAGCTCTATGGTCTCAGCAAGATCAGGTTAGCCTCTTACCTCTCCCCTCCCCTTTATCTATGCCTTACTGTAAATTGCTTCTTCCCACTGCCTTGAACTCTTTTCCCCACCCTGTTCCTGCTGACAGGGGATGGGTCATACTCCAACACATCTCAGATGGTTTGACCTTCTTCCTCATGCATCAGAAAGTGGTTCCAGCATTTAACAGAAAACAACTCCTACCAAAAAATATCCAATACAATCCTCTAGTAAAAACAAAACAAAACAAAACAAAAAAAAAACCAAAAAAACCACAAGAAAACACCCACTCCCAACTTTTAAACTGCATAGCAACATTTATACACAGTTACATAATTAATACCATTTTAGAGCATGAAGCAATTAAAGTGCATCTCTGACAGTTATGCTAAGGTTAAAAAGTTTAAAAAAAAAAAAAGTGATCATACCTCTGCACTTGAGGAATTTTCCCAGATAACTACGTTATATTTAAAACTTAGATCATTTCTCCACATTTTTCGGACCTGATTCACTTCTGGAGGAGAAACCTTAATTTTTATGACTCCATTTGAGGACTGCAAGTGTATTCCTGGGGGACCAATCTGAGCTGCAAATATTAAAAGACTACTTAAATGAAAAAAAAACCAAAACAACCAACTATAAAAGTAATTTACATTAATAAAACCCACAGTAATTGCCCAGAGTATCTTATTTTTCATTCTTTTGAGGCAGTAACAATATCATAGTAAGCACCTATGGGATCTTGGTTTTCATGAATCTCAAGCAGTATGTGACAGAAATCTAACCTAACAAGCAACCATAGTTACCTGCTTCTAAAAGCAGTAGAGTTAAAACACAATATTACTAGAGAATGTTTTCCAGAATCTGCTGTGAAAAATCAGTGTAAGTTACTTTAAAACACACAAGGCAAGAAACCTAGCTCAAATAAGTGAATCCAACATTGAGGGAAGGCTTCAGTACCACAATATAACTACTGAAAAGTCACAAGGTCAGAAGAAAACTGAGAAAAAAAGGATTTTTCCAACATTTAGAAAAAACACTGACAGAAAATTCTGTCAGAAAAAGATCACTTAGAATACTTTCCCCCTTCCAGAAAAGAGAGAATTTTAACATCCCCATGACCTTTAAATAACTTATATATGTTACAGTTGAGAAAACCACTAGCTCATGTTGTTGGGAGCGATGGAAACCACACTCATTTTTTCAGAATAATGTGCTGAAGGACATTTAACTAAAAACATTACAGTATATATGGAGCTCATACCTATATAATATGGAATCATTTCAAAAATGCTAGACCATGGAGATACTTCTTCCCTTCTTTCAGCCCTTACACGCACATGATGTCTATCATAGTATTTGGTTATTGCTGAGGAAAAGTCACATTCTCTGCCAGCAACATTTTGACAACCAGGCAACCCCTGCCATTCTGTTCCGTTTGTCTCAAAATCTTCAAACCTGTAAGAAAGAAAACTCTTCAAAAATAAAACCAATACACAATTTAAGTCTTGAGATTGTTTTTCTTCTCAGGGCTAATAGATGTCACACCATTTAAGACTCCAGTGTAATCAGTGTTATCTACTTAGCCTGGAATTCATAATGCCATTAATTAATTAATTCAATCTACTAATTTAGCTTAGCCTTATTACCAGAGGTTAACTACCAGTCTGCAAAATCTGACACTAGTTTGCTTTATTCACCATGTAAACACAAAGCGTCAGAAAAGAGCACCAAAGAACTATCAAAATCCACAATTATATCCTTAGTCTGTGATCCTAGAGTGGTAATGATTTTATAATTCATTAGAAGAAATTTAGAAATTTTGATGGCAAGGAGTGCTTAAAGGAGCACAAAAGCAGCAAAATGCTCCAATTCTAACATTAGCAAGGAATGTAGATTAAGGGAAAAGAAAAACACAAAGGAGAAGACTGGAGTTCAGCAGTTAAGTGCTGGAATAATTAGCTTTACAGAAGCTATTTTTCTGTGAGTCAACAGATAACCATACCTTAAAAAGGAGACTTTTCAAAGACATTAAAAATGTCTTGACTAAAAGAAAAGAGGCAAAGATGAAGTAGTAATTGTTTATCCTCCATTCCTATCTTATCTTTCAGATCAGTATTATGTTTTTTAAAAAAAACTATTTTCAAAGCAGCTGTTTCTCATCTGTATGTTGAAGACGGTGAGATATTTTTTAAAAAATCTAAAATCATACACTAGGAAATCCTAACACCAAGAACTTTTAAAATTATTTATATCTTAGAATTGTCTTTTAATATTTAGCTGTCAGGAAAGTGCCACACAACACCAAATGTATATGTATATGCATGCATAAGTATTGGTATATGAAACAATTGAAGAAAACCAAGCACACATTTAAGAACAAAAAGTAAATTGTCTCATCTGGTAACTAAAATTTGCAGATGAATAACATGGATTTATAAACACTGACATATTATTCAAAAGCTACATGAAAATTCTTTTAGTTCTCTGTGTGTGTGGCCACAAGGTAGCTTAAGTTAAAACAAACAAACAAACAAACAAAAAACCAAAACAGGGAATAAATAAATCTAAATACTACATTTCTAAGCGTACTGGTTAATCTTCTCAAATAACTACTTTAGTATTACACATTACTACCAAGCGTGTTGTGCATTAATAACATCAGTATCAGTGTACAATCTAACTTTAGACCCGAATTAGACAAACAAAGGACAATACCACAATTCCACTTCATGTGAACATTTAATCTTTGTGGCCTCTACATTCTGGATTTCAAAACATCTCTAGAAGCTTTACATGACAGTACCAAGAAGCACAGTAATGAATTGATATGTTTTTCTGCAGAAGTAAGCATCACCTCTGGCTCAGAATCGTTACTACTTACCATCGGTATTCTGCCGAAAATGTCACATTGGGATCGTTCCCAGTGTAGTTCCACCTTAGAGTTAAATTTGTATTTACAATGGACACCTGAAGGTCCTGTGGACTCTTCAGATTAGTTTGGCCTACAAGAAAGTAACATAAAGGTATATAAAAATGGAAGAAATAATTTGTATGTAGCTTAAGAGTAGCTTCTGTTCCAAAGGCAGAGTTACAATGAAATGAAATAGTAATAAACATAAGAGTTAAAAAAACCCCACATTACTCAAACAGCACTTCAATATATATACAGTTCAGGAGCTGTGCATTGGGTGGCTCCCTTGCCTATTTGACTACGTGGCTCTTTCCTCTGTGCTTGAAGTCTTTCTCCCCACACCCCTTTAAAAAAAGTATACACAGTTGTAACATTCGAGGCCTGTGTTCACTGTCATGGGTTGATTATAAGCAGTCTGAATGCATTTAAACCCGTATTTCATTGGTTGGATCTCAACTGCAAAGTGCTAGGGACTAACTTAATGCTATCATTTCACAGCTGCAGAACAGATGGAGCATAGCAGACATTTCACGTCACCTGTTACTGTCACAAATTCAATGTATTGAATATAAATCCCTTTCAGGAAGACTTCATCACACAGCAGATCTTGTATCTTGCTCACGGTAATCCTGTCTTTTCTTTTACACAAAGAACCTAAAATGACTTATGGAGGGCATGGGCTAGGATGCACATAAGAATGTCTGTAACGTTAAGGGGAGGACCAGACCATGAGAAGAGAAGGCTCAACAGGCAGAAGCACACATGCTAGAATCATCTCCAGAACAGCGCTCCTCTTCATTTTCCACCTTTCAAAAATAATTATTAAAAACCAAACCAAACTGATAATTACTTATTTACATAATTACTTTATATTCCACTTCCTGAAGAAGATATCTTTACTATTCATTTTGAGATAAGCAGAATTCTAGGTGCTCCATTTGGTATACAATTCAGGTATCAGAGAACAGATGGGGTTAACAGTGCTGTGGGAGAAGGAACTGTTCTGATACTTAAGGAAACCCAAATATACCTAGCTATAGATAAGGTACACTTTGCTGTGAATTATTTCACACCAGTCTCTGGTACTGCGTCAAAGCAATGAGGCTAAAAAGTTACAATCAGGGCTGAAGTTTTGGACTGACAGTTTTTGTGTACTAAAGCTAAATCAGACTCTGGCTTACAGATGGACAGGAGACTGTGTGAACACAAAGGGAATACATGTGAACTGAGGAAACCTCAGGCAGAAGTCACTAAAATTACACCAAAACCACCAACTAGGCAGCCGTATCCAGATTTACTGAGCTTAAACTTCATATAAGTCCTCCTCCCTGGAATGCTATGCTGGGTATCTTTGACAACCCATGCTAGGTACAATTTAGGTGATGCATGCCTCTGTCCTCTGACTAAGAATGCACTTTCAAGTTCTAACACATCAGGGGAAAAAAAGTAAAATCAACAAAATAATAATTAAAAATCTACATCACTCCTCTCACTTGACTTTCCATTTTAAACAGTTGTGTGCTACACTATTAATCACTTCCCAATGGCTACAACTTCTAAAAGGATGTCCGTGTCCATCATTCTGAAGATACCTTTTGATATCAGTCTAATATTTGGTTACATTAGGAAGAAATCAGTACAAATACATCTTATTTCTCCCAAGCAATCAAAGTCTGTTTGCATATCTAAAAGGGTAATCCCGATTTTGATTTTAAGAGTGGCTCTTCAGTGCAAAAACTATTTAATATTTTCCATTGTGACAAGGTCCTCTTTATAAAAATGAAATAGGTCTGGAAAAGCAATCTATAAACTGAGGTCTGCAAGATTCTTTTGGAGAACAGAGTTACAGTAGTATCCATAGACTACTGATTTTTGGAAATAACTCCCAAAAGCACATCATTTGAAAGGAAAGTAATCCAATAAAAGCTCATACATGCCACTACAGAATTTATTTCCACAATGCTTCAACGTTCTGCTCTTCTAAGGTGACAGAGTAAGATAAGCCCAGACAATGCCAAACTACATCTGATCATCAGAAAATAAGAAAGCAAAGGAAATAACTTGTTGTTGAAATTTGTTAACAGTTACTCATCACCAGTTTGTATTTTAACACTTTCTAATCACCCATTCATATCCTGGAAGCACAGAAACTGAGCTGGAAGAAACCTTTCAAGCTCACCTGGATTTCACATTGGAGAAAGCAGGTGGCCAGTTCTATGCACATCATCAGATGACTGCACAGAGAAGTCCTATGGTTTCTACTCCTGCATACCCTATTTTTACAGGCGTCCAGTCTCCTGAATACTTCACTATCTTTACCGTTACACATTTGGGAAAGCTTTCTGTAAATCAAAAGCAAAGAACTTCCAAATCAGATTTCCTAGTAAATTCCAGTGGAGGTCACTAACTTTGCAAAACAGATCCAAGTTTCCTCACAGCAAGGTTGGTTGCTTAGCTATTCTTAGTCCATGAACAACAAAGAGTTTAGAGACTGCAAAACCCAGAGTCTAATTTAAGCACATTTAGCCCATGTACTTTTTGTCTATGGATATTAAAGCATGCTATTCTTTATGTCACATAGATTTGAACACAAAGTTAAACACAACTAACGATGCAGAGAAAACTGAAGGGCAGCAACAACTCTTTGTTTTCCTTTTATGCCAAATTTTCTAACATTCTGAATTACTTTTACTGTTCTCTTTTGCATTCTTTTGAAATGGTTGAGCTTGCTTGAGATAGTATGCTTCAGAAAATCACAGTATTCCAGTGAAATTAATAAATGTAAGTCTAGCTTACAAGACACATGACCTAACCTCTTAATTTAAATCAGCGGTGCTGTGCCCAAACACTTTTGGGGTTTTCTAGTTTTTGTTAGGATACTTCTCAATTCTATGCCTGCTTCTCAAAACAATTGTGAGCTATTTCCACTTAGCTATACATGGATTTAATAAGCTTACACTGTTCTATCATACAGATTATTAGCAGGGCCCCTTTTGGTACATCTTTCCCTCTTGACAGTGAGCTGTAAAAAAATTTTAATTAGCTGGAAAAAAAATCATACTGAAGCAGTTTAGCATACCTTATTTTTTCCTGTATGCTTAAGAGATTAGCGTACAATACAGATTCAATAGCACAGCTAAGCCAAAATAGAGGCAACTGGAGCTTCTCCAGCTGCGTCACCTTTTATTTTATAACAACAGAAATTCATGTTGATTTAATATGACATTTGTTCTCAATACAGCAGATATGCATAGATGATCCACCCTTCCATCCTTTCACATGATACTTGCTATTTCAAATAATTATTTTGTGTTTGCTTCCCTAAATTATTTTCTTAAATCCCAACAGACAGCAATCCAGGAATGAAAGAGTAAACACGATAATGTTTAGTTACCAGAGAAATGTCATGATTTAGCTAGGAACTGACTACACAAAGTAACATCTTAAAATCGAGACTTCTTCCTGGTTTATTTTACTAATGATTTAAAGCCAGACATTTAAAATTAATTGATGTTTCTTCACTTAAAGCACAATGACACTGGTGCCGAGGGAAACACTGGAAGAGATTAGACTTCTACTGAAAGACGAGATTAAAGACAAGAAAAGTTTTTAGCACAATTGCCTACCTTCCTTCCCCCAACAAATTCTAATAAACTCAAATAAACACAAAACTACTCTAATAAATAAGCATCACTAGCCAATTTATAATATTTAGTTACTATTTTCAATAAGTGACGGCTCAAAAGTAATAACAATTATATAACATTACAGAATAACACAAGCCATTCAACAACAGAATTAGTATTAGCAAGACAGAAGTACATTCCCTCAGGAGAGAGCAAAGGCGAAACCCTGTTAAGAGTACATAATGGCTCACCGCTTAACACATTAAGCATGTAGTACAATGAATGGAAATTTTAAGTCAACCTTTCAGCATGGGAAGGAAAGGAGACCTGTTATATGTGATATTAAAAACAAACAAACAAACAAAAGCCACAGGGAAAGACACACCAAAAATGGCCCAACTGTTGTTGGTTCCATGGGCAGAAAGGTGCTCTAGAGAAAAAGGGAGAATTCTTAATGCAAGAACTTTTATATAGGAGCAGCAGAAAGGAACTGCTGGTTTTGACAAGGCTCAAGGTGAGAGGAGACTATAGCAGGGCAATTACTTCTAACTCCAAAAGTAGTATGTGGCACGTTAGTCATTTGCTATAATACGTGTGGGCTAATCAAGGTAACTCCATGTATCACAATGCTTCCAGTCCGGGGATGAAATCTGGGGCTGATGCACAAACTATTCACCTACAAACCAAATGGCTGAAAGAAAAAGTAAGACAAGAGGCCCCAGCACTGAATCTCTGCTCGAATCCTACCCTGAATGTGAAGCGTGGACTGCTGACAAGAGCCAGTCCCTACCCTTCCTCTGGGTACACCGAACTAGCACAATGTGCTCTCACAGAATTCGAGTTCAGGTGGCATCAGAAACAGCATGCACACACTACCCCATGGCTATAATATTTCCATTGACCAAATCGGTTTAGCCCAGATCCTCCCTGTGGAATGTCACAACGTTTACAGCCTCTCTGGGCTGCATAACACTTCTTGAAAAAGGTTTTGTGCAACAGCTGATTCTTGCTGATAAAGGATGTAAGGAGCCTGCACATGCTACAGCCCTGTGTCATGAAATCCTCATCCTGCAATTTTACTTCTCTCATTTCCTTATTTATATTTTAGGCTCTGTCAGTATAGACCGAGCTGATTTTCAAGCAAATCAATAGGATTCAAACCCCTGTCTGCCCCGTGCTTAGCCTACATCCTCTAGGATTCGGAGACGCGAGGAAAGCCCGAAGGACTCGACGGAAATCTACCCCGCTCACACACCTATCTAGGCCCA